TATATAATTAATACATACTAATAAACTTTTTTTTAATTTATCATTTTTTTTAATGTGTATGTATATATTGCCTGCATGTAGGTAAGTGCACCTGTGTTGTGCGATGCCCTCGGAGGACAGAAGAGGCTGTGTGGAACTGGAGTTACAGATGTCTTCATCTTTTTGAGACAGGGTCTCCTGTAGCCCCAGCTGACCCGGAACTCGCTATGTAGACCAGGCTGGCCTCGAACTCACAGAGATCCGCCTGCCTCTGCCTCCCAAGTGCTAGGATTAAAGGCATGCACCACCACACCCGGCCTAATAAACTTTTTTAAAGAGAGGACTAGTGACACGGCTCAGTGAGTAAGGTACTTGCCACCAAGTTGATTATGACCTGAGTTCTGTCCCTGACACCCACATGATGGAAGGAAAGAACAGATGCCTGAAAGCTGTCCTTTGATCTCCACATGTTCACGTGGAACACATATGCAAACACACACACACACACACACACACACACACACAAAATAAATAAATAAATAAATAAATAAATAAATAAATAAATAGAAACTTTTTAAAAGAAAAACATAGGCTGATTTCTTTCACAACATAGTTGCAAAACCCCTAAACAAAATTACTAGCAGATGGAATCTACACACACAAAAAAGCATATTACCTCTAGGGGCTTATTTTAGGAACACAAGGATGGTTTAACATTCAAACATCAAACACAAATAATTCATCAGAGAAAAATCACACCTCTCAATAGAGGCAGAAAAAGGTATTCTTGAAATCCGTTTATGAAACCCAAAACCAAGGAAACCAAAGAGAAGGGAGGGATCTGCCCTTCCCATGATGATGGGGACAGTGGCAAACACACCACAGCAAGCTTGTCCCCTTATTGGGGAACTGCTAAAGCTTTCCCTTTGGAGCTGGATGCTGCCCTCACTGCTTCCTCTAGGTTGGAGGACCTGGCTGCTGTCACCAGTTAAGCAAAACAGGGAAATGGAGGTAGAAGGAATGGAAACACGCCGATATGGCCCTTAGACTGGCCCTGGCCTGCAGTGAGTGCTCTCTGCTCGGGGTGAGATAAGGTCTGATTTCAAAGGCATGTGTGTTGAACAAAGCTTGCCAAGAGACATTATTTTAGAGGAATAGCTATTATTTTTTTCTGAAATTATATTCATTTTCCTACTGTGGAATTCAAAATGCATTTTCTTATAGGAAATGATAGTTATGAGATGGTGCATTCAAAGGCAGCACATTATATAATTCTAAGTGCAGGCAGAGGACTGGTTTTATAAAAGACAGAGATATAGAGACAAGGATGGAAATGGGGAGTGATCACCTTGTAGTCAATGAGATTCATTCAACCTGTCTCTTTCCAGGGTCTTGCTATGTAGCCCTGGCTGGCCTCGTACTTACTATATTAGCCCAAGGTTGGTCTTGAAGTCATGAAAATTCTCCTGCCTCAACCTCCCAAAGTCTGGGATTATACGCATGGATTTTTAAATTTTATTTTATTTATTTTTTTGGTCTTTTTGAGACAGGGTCTCCCTGTAGCCCCAGCTGTCCTGGAACTCACTGTGTAGCCCAGACTGGCCTTGAACTCACAGAGATCCGCCTGCCTCTGCCTCCTGAGTGCTGGGATTAAAGGCGTGCACCACTATGCCTGGTGTGAATTTTTTTTTAATCACTTTTTCTTTGGTGGTACTGGGGCCTTGTGCATGTTAGGCAAGCACTCTGACACTGAGCTACATTCCTATCCCTCTCTCTAGTCTTATAATTAAGTACCTTAATTTTCATAATGAAGAATAAATGCTTTTTAAAAGATTATTTTTATTTTATGTGTATGAATGTTTGCCTGCATGTATATAAGTGCATTGATGTGTGTGTCTGGTGCCAGTGGAGGCCAAAAGAGGGCACTGGAACCCCTGGAACTGGAGTTATAGACGGTTTTCAGCTGCCATGTGGGTGCTTTGTAAGAGCAGTCAGTGTTCTTAACTGCTGAGCCATCTCCCCAGCCTTGAATGCTGTTTTAAGTGATAAAAAAGATTCTTCTCTGGCAAGAAAATGGGTGAGCCTTCATCTGGTTTTGTGAGTGTATTTGTTGGAGTTCTGAAGCACTGTACAGAGGCCACAGAGGACACACCCTCTGGTCCATAGGGACCCACCCAGGGCCTGGCTGAGGCACTCACCAGGAGCTGGTCTTCTTTGATGACTGTTAGCTGCTTGGCCCACTGCCCGAAGCGCTTTTTCCGAAGCAGGAAGGCACATATCCTGCAGTCCCTCACCAGGTGCATGGAGGCTTCCTCTGAGGGCCATTGGTGCTGAGGCTGTGTCCCCTTCCCTTCTTCCTCCTCCTCCTCCTCCTCCTCATCATAGGACTCGTAGGAACTACTCATGGCGTCAGAGTCATTGTCTGCAGGCATCATGGGAAAGGACCTTCAGTCTCTGTGCCACCCCTAGGAAAGAAAGCCCCTTCGCACCCAAAGCAGGCAGCCTGCTCTTGGCCCAAGATGTGTAATGCAGTGGCAGTATGGAGAAGGGCTTCAGGCCTTACTCAGGGTACTGTGCTTTAGAATGGCCTGTCCTGCACTCCTGGTGACTTCACTTATTGGAGTTTCTGTGTCTTCATCAATATGTAGCATAATAAATAACAGATCCCAATTGGTCTGGCTGCTTGGACCCACAGCATGTATGTAGAATGCTTAGCCAGGTGTCTGGCACCAAGATGCATTCAGTAAACTTCTGTTATTGTACTGACCCCATCATTTTCCATGGCTGTCATCTCAGATCATCCTATAACCCAGAAAACCCCCAGGACAGATAAGGAAACTAAATTCCCCACAGATCAGGCACTAAGAGTCAGATCAGGGCAAGAGTTGAGTGACCCCCCATTCCAAGGTTGGGTCACTGACAACAAGGGCTCTAGGGCCTCTGTGGTGATAACAGCCTGGTGAGTGGTGGTATGTGCATGCTCAAGGCCAGCTCTTCAGGAGACAGCTATGCAAGCAGCTGTGTATACATACAAGAGTTCTTTAGCTCTCCATTCATCCTTGTGGTGGGGTAGCTGCTGTCTGCATCCTCATAGTAGCCATCCACAATCGACTGGGCCGGGCTGCAGCCATCTGTGGGATTGTCAGAAAGAGCTGAGCTTGCAGAAGTGTGGCAGTGTCCAGGGTCAGGGCTGGGAAGGCCTCAGGGGACAGAGTCAGGGCTCAGGCAGCCCTAGCTAGGGTGTAAGGTGCTGCTTCTGCATCTCTCTGCTCTGGCTGTCCACTTAACCCTCTGTACCTGTCACTAGGAACTGCCTTGCTGGGCCCTGTTATACCTCCAGGTCTACATTCATGCTAGTCTCTATGCCTTCTTATATTTTTATCAGAGAGCTCCTACTCACCCTTCAAGACCTAATTCAAAAGACATTTCCTCTGGTCTCCGGGGAATGAGTGATCAGTCCCTCTTTACCTAGTGGCATTATGTGTATGTTTGTGTACACACGTGCATGTGTACATACGTGAGGGAGGGAGGGAGGGAGAGAGAGAGAGGGAATGAATATGTCATGGCCACAGCTCTGGTCTCTGCACTACAGGGTATGTGGTACGAGCTGCCTGAGTTCAGACCTCCCTCTGCCCTGCCCTGATCTCCTGTCTTCTACCTCAGCCCTTCTATCCACTTCCTAATATATATGCTTTTGTGCTGTAAAGACAATGTCCTCTGTAAAGCTATGGAACTACAACAGGACAAGCAGACTAGAGAGGACACTAAGAGCACATGCTGACTGCAACAGCGACCAGTGCTGATTTTCATGGTAATGTCCCTCTGCCGCTGGGTGGCAGAACAGCCTCAGTGCAGCAGCCAGGCTGGTGGGCATCCCAAATTGCTTCTCCTAGGGACTTGATTCACTAGAGTGAGCTGGGCTCAGGAATTTGGATTGAAAACAAACAACTATGTGAAGGTGAAATTCTAAAGTTACATGAAAGAAGAAAAGATGTGGCACTCTAATGAACTGAAACAAATTCATTCAACAGAATTCGTTTTTTTTTTTTTTTTTTTTTTTGGTCTTTTTGAGACAGGGTCTCCCTGTAGCCCCAGCTGATCTGGAACTCCCTATGTAGACCAGACCAGGCTGGACTTGAACTCACAGAGATCTGCCTGTCTCTGCCTCCCAAGTGCTAGGATTAAAGGCGTGTACTACCACACCTGGCCACTCAACAGAACTATTATTTTTTTTATAATTATTTGATAATATTTTATTATCAATAACAAACAGCTACTTTAATGTCTGTTCTGCAGCTATTAATAGTGGGAGGACACCCTTGACCCTAACAAGGAAAATTCAAATTAAGTTGTTATATACAAGCAAATTTAAAGCTCTTTCAAAGTGTCCAAAGCTATTAGTTTAATTTAGAAATTAAACTAATCTTGAATTAACATTATTATTTGAACCATGAACTAAATTTTCTAGTACAAAAAATTAAATTTGCTTTAGTTATCAAAAAGCTCTGTCAATATACACAAACTATATACTTCAGACATTCACAAAATGTGAGCAGAAGGCTTATCAAAAGACATTTACTACAATTAGTTTTCAACAGCCCGTTGGTGGTCCACATCTACAAAGAAATCCAGCCAGGCCCAACCCCCCTCCAAACCCCACTCCCACGGAAAAGCACATACCAGAATTTTTAGCAAATATGGTTTGGGAATTTGTTTTGTTTATTAAAAAAAAAGCTCCCAGGGCAAGTTATTTACAGTTTAATTGCCACTGTCAACTGATCTGGGCCTGGACCGAGATCGGGACCTCTGGCGATCCACAGAAGCCGGAGACTTAGATCTACTTGAAGAACCACGTTTCTGGCTCTTCTCAGGCACAGGAGACCTACTAACAGAAGAAGACTTGTTCTGGCTCCTGTTCCTGCTTCTTGATCGGCTAAGACTTGCTTCTATGGGAATGAGATTGGCTACAAGACCTAGAGGAACTCCTGGTCCAAGATCGAGACCTGCTTCTTGACCTGTGCCTTTTGCTGCCTTTGATTAATTTGATTTTTGCCCAATTTATTTCCTTTCCAGAAAGTTTTTCAGTAGCATTCTTTTAAGTCAAACTCAACCACCCCTTCATTTAATTTAGGTCGATGTGCATCAGCAAAGGTCACTTCTCCAGCTTGTCTCATGAAATCTTTGAGATCCTTTATTAATATTTCCCTAGGCTAGTCAAGCAGCAAACCATTAAGCAGTTGGAGACCCTCCTGACATAGGCCTGACTGGCTCTTCACCACCCATTGAAGGATACTACCCAATCGGTGGAAGTCTTTAATCACACAGCCCTTCCTATTAGCAGACTATTGGCGATACAGACATGTTTTACTCTTGTGCAATTACGAAGGACCACTTTACTGTGATCAGGATTCCAATGAACAAGTTATCTCGTATCTTTCAACTCTTTTGACCAGGACCTCTTACTCGGAAGTGTTATGGGAAGACAGCTCTCAAGGATCAGATCATGTTATCAACATTCTGGGTTTGCTGCAACCCGGCACTTCAAGTAAGTGCACCGATTATGTCTAGACCGGCAAACAAATCTAGAGGTGGCCAATTGATCATTATAGGAGCTAACTTACAGCAAAGTTAACCAGGCCCAACCAAGAGTGACCAAGACAACAATTAGGATAACCCACAGGCACTCCTCATCATAAGGCCAATGACACAGATAGGCTGCCAGCTGACTCTTGAGGATAAATTCTCACCTATAAGCTGATTTTCTGTTCTTACGGGTGGATTCTTCAATCATTTCGAGGTCTGCAACTACTAAAACGGTCAGAGTTGCATCCTCTATCTCGTCCACCTCGAGCCCAAGCCTGAGCATGTTCAATGGCAACCCTCTCACTGCAAAGTTCTTTTCTATGGAGTTCATGAACAACATCATCTGCATCCCTTGGGTCCTCAAATCCCACAAAACCCAAACCTCTTTTCAGGTCAATATCTGATCCGTCCATAGCCCTTGAAAAATCTCTCCACATCTTTATCCCTCGCTGCTAGATTTAGCCTCCTGATGAACCCTCGACAGCCATGATGCCCGCCTAGTATTTCCTCAATCAACTGCGCTCACTAGCTGCCGTCCTCCACCAAGAGCGCAGCTCGGGTCTGAGCCATGAAGAAGCCAATCCGAGAAGGCTTGCTCTTAAAGCGAGCCACTCACCTACCCGACAGGGTCTTGGTGGAGAGACCCTGGGGAGGTCTGTAGTCTGCCACCGAGCTGTCCGCCTCCCCACAGACCCGCACTCAGCTCATCTCTCAACAGAATTTTTTTTTTTTTTTTGGGTCTTTTTGAGACAGGGTCTCCCTGTAGCCCCAGCTGTCCTGGAACTCACTATGTAGACCAAGTTCGCCTTGAACTCACAGAGATCTGCCTGCCTCTGCCTCCCGAGTGCTGGGATTAAAGGCGTGCACCACTAAGCCAGTCTCAAAAGAATTATTTTTAAAAAGCATGTAAGATTAGGGCTGGAGACATGACTCAGTGGTTAAGAGCACTGGCTGCTCTTGCAGAGGAGCCGGGTTCAGTTCCTAGCATGTGCATGGTGGCTAACAACTGTCTGTAACTCAGTTCAAGGGGATCCAGTGCCCTCTTCTGGCCTCTGCGGGCACTGCACAACATGGGTGCATTTTTACATACAGCAACCTGTATACACATAAAATAAAAATTTAAAAAGTCTATACATATACATAAGGTTATTTTGACCTAGACAGTCCCTCCCTGGAAGGTTCTTAGGAACTCTGTTGTCGGCATGAGAGACAAACACCAGCTGAGTTGGGCTCAAATCTTGCCTGCTAGCTACTGAGTGAGTTTGAAAGAGGGAAGGTGTCTGCCTTCCAGATTTCTTCTGTGTACTGAGCAGTCCCTACCTACATAGTGATGTGATGGAAGCTCAACTAGAGCCTGGTGCATGGAATGTGCTAGACAAATGCCAGCTGTCATTATTATTGTCCCCTTTGATCTCCATAAGGCAGGCAGGGAAGCACAGTCCCATTTTATAGATAGGGCATTAGTCACAAGAAGAAGGATGTACCACTACATGCTCTAACATGGATGAACCTTGGAAATGGCACATTAAGTGAAAGCAGCTGTGCTGGATAGTTTTAGTGTCAACTGGACACACCTGGGTTGAGGGAGCCTCAATCGGGGAATTGCCTCTATTGGACTGGCCTGTGGCCATGTCTGAGGGGCATCTTCTTGATGAGTGATGTGGGAAGGCCCAGCCCACTATGGGTGGTGCCACCCCTGGGCAGGTGGGCCTGTGTTGCATAAGAAAGCAGGCTGAGCAGGGGCCAGGGGAGCAAGCCAGTAAGCAGCATTCCTCCATGGCCTGTGCTCCAGCTCCTGCCTCCAGGTTCCTGCCCTGAGTTCCTACCTTGGGCTCCTGGATGAACTGTGACCTGGGAGATGTAAGATAAATAAACCCTTTCCTCTCCAAGTTGGTATTGGTCAGAGTGTTTTGTCACAGCAATGGAGAGACAAACCAGGACAGCAGTCAAGTATGAAAGTCTCAAATTATGATTCTACTTATATACAATGTCCAGAACAGGCAAATCCGTATTTCCAGAAAGCAGGTATGTGGTTGGCAGAGGTTGGGGCCTGGGGCAGCAATGACTGGGGAGGGAGTACTTCCTGATGTTGCTTTTGGGATAATGAAAATGCTTGGGAATTAGATAGCAGTAGTGGCTGTGACACAATGCATGATATACTGCTGGCTGGACATTTTAGAATAGTGAAATAGTTTACTTTATATTTTATCATAATAAAAAATCTTTGCCTACTATAAAAGTACAATCAGTACAAAAGAGTGAAGGAATATGTTCCCTTTGCCCAGATGTATTTATTTACTTATTTCCTTCTTCCTTGTTCCCTCCCCTGCTTCTGTTCAGAAGGGGCCTCGAGGTCAAGCCCAAGCAAGCTTCCTGCCTCAGCTTTCTGAGTAGCTGGGATTAGAGTGAATGTCATCAAACTGGCTTCAATAAGAGGCATGTTTCTCAAACCTCACATCATGTTCACCTATTATTGTATTTTTATTTTGTGGTGTTGGGAATAAAACCCAGAGCCTCAAATACACAAGGGCTACCTCACTGAGCTACCTGTCCAGTGTCCTGCCCAGATTTCTATTCACTTCCTAAATCCTGTTGTTAGTTTCTTGTATGTCCTAGAAATTGTCAAAATTTATGCATGAATGTATACACCCCATTTAAAGAAACAAACAAATGACATCACATTCCATGATGTATTCTATGGTTGGTTTTCTTCATAACAGGCCCATTCCCATATATTAGTATGTGAATTCATTTCTGATCAGCACAGACTTCTTTGATTTGCAGTCTGGCAGGTGGAGAACCTTCCACTGTGCTGTGGGATGGACAGGAAGTACCACACTGACACTGTTACCAATAGACTCAGCCGCACATGCTCTGACATCCAAAGCTGCAGTTTCCCTGTGTATGTCAAGTCCCCATGCTCAAGAAAGGGATTCCACCTTATCCTTACACTTGGGAAGCCAAGGGAAGAGATTGACTCTCTTTTGTGGGTAATTCAAGAGATTTCTCTAAGGTAACCTGTTTTAGTGCCCTTTGAAAAATATTAAGCAAATCCATCAGTAAAAATACGTACATAATTTTTTTTTTTTTTTTTTTTTTTTTTTTTTTTTTTTTTTTTTTTTTTTAGACAGGGTCTCCCTGTAGTCCCAGCTGGGCTGGAACTGTGTAGACCAGATCCATCTGCTCTGCCTCCCGAATGCTAGGATTAAAAGTGTGTACCACCAAGCTCAGTGCATGCAGAATATTTTTATACTTATTTATGTATTAATTATATGCATGGTCTGTTTACAAGTATTATGTTATAATAGATCATAAATATGGTAAAATATTCATATATATTTTTCAAAACAGATGTGTTGAACTAGATATAAATAAAGCCTTTAGTATGTCTGCCTATACCATTGTATGACTTTCTGGGGTTGGGGGCTGAACTCTGAAGACCTTAGTTTAGACCACAGACCATATCCTATGTGCAGGCTTGATAACCCAACACATCCATATGAAACAAATCAAGACACCTAAGCTGGGGGGTGAGGGGGTGAAGCAGTGTGAATGGCTGCACTTGTGTCCTAATACTCTGTTATGAATGGATCTAGTGCCTCTTGTTGTTTTAAGGGTGGAGAAACAGAGCTCCAGAGAAGACAAGGGTTTGTCTAAAGCCACACAGAACTAAGATGAGAAGTCAAGCCCCTGGGCTATGCCATTGGTCACCCAGTCTGGCTGAGAAAAGGTCAGCCCCACCCAGGGAAGGAGTGACAGGCAGAAACTTAGGACCTGCTTCTCAAGGAGGGAATCCTGGAAGCCCTGAAGGAACCAGAACTTACTGTGTGAGCTGATGTACTCAGGGGACTTTCCAGGTCCCAGAGGAAGGGCCTCCTCATAGTAGTCCTCAGGTGGAGGCTTGTTGGGCAGTGGTGGAGGCAGGTCGGCTGCCTGCAGTAGAAAAGAAAGGCAGAAAGTGTGTGAAGCTGGATGTCTGGGCCCACAGGATGAGGCACGTAGTAGGAGGGAGGGAGGCTGTGGGGCAGGAAGCTAGAGCTCAGAGGAGGAAGGTGGTAGTTTGAATGTGAAGTCATAGGGTTTTTTATTTTTTTTGGGGGGTGTCTCATTATGTAGCCCAGGCTGGCCTTGAACTTGCAATCCCCACATCTCCCCCGGATGCTGGGATTACCAGCATGTGCCACCACACTGGTCTAAGTCATAAGATATAATAGCCTCAGAGCTGGAAAATTTGAAAGCCTCTTTGTCCTGTGCTATTTCTATAAATTCTGTAAGCATCAGAGCTCTTTGTAGCTTTGTAGTGCCTTATTAAAGTTTTGCAAACTGCCCAAAGTGGCAGGTAAACTTTTGATTGGACATACTGAGTTCTCAAACACGAGTGTGAGCTCTACATTCTCTGTCACTATATGAGGAGCAACAGGACAAGAAAGCATGAGGCATATTATTTAGTGAGGCAAACATGGGGCCAGGAAACTCCACTTCTTCAGCTAAGTATTGTCATTTACTAGCTGTGGGACACTGGGTGCTTAACCCCTTAGCTATTAGACTGGGATGGCAATTGTTCTGTGTACCTGTAGTTGCTGTGAGTAAAGGGTAGAACAAGCTGCTATCAATTAGTACCTCTGATGGAGGTGACGATAATCAATTTTGTGTCTGACAATGCCTGTTTTTAATTCTGTGGTTTCAAGGTTAGGAACCTGAGATCTAATCATTTGCTTTGTAGGTGTGAAAATTCAGGCTCCAAACTGGTTAGCAGCTTGCTCAAGACCTCCCAGCAGAGCAGTGGGGACAGCAGAGAATACCCACTTCCTAGTCCACAGCTTTTTTTCTCCAGGAGTCTGGGGCAATGTCCTTTGGGCCAGATGGCACAGATCAAGTTCAGTACCTTCTCACTGCTCAGCAGGAATCACAGTAAGCATGTCACAGGCCACTGAATGTCCATATGATACTTAATCTGCCATTAACCATCATTGTGGAAAGAGAAGGGGGTCCTGCACAACCACGAGGGTTGCTGGGATTACTGGAAGAGCTTCCCTCACCCTCCCTATACAGGGCCATGACTCACACTTTTCAGAGATGGGCTCTTGGCTGGCTCAGGGCTGGCTCCTTTGCTGGGTTCCCCATCATCCTCTGGCATGTCCCGAAGATCACCCAGGTCACAGTCTACAGAGAAAGCCAAGGATAGGCATGGCAGAAGGAAGAGGGCTGGGTTTGGGGTCCAGAGGCCTGCCTGTGAGACCAGGCCCCACCACCTCCACCATTAGTAACCCAAGCAAGTAGCTTAACAGGGTGCTTCCTTTGTAGGCTGGCTGCACTAATCCCTGACTGGTCTGGCTTCCAGAGCGACAGAGATGAAAGCAGATCATCTTTGTGAGGTGCTCCAGAGGTCTTTGAGGGTGTGGTTATAGAGGCATGCAGTTTCCCCTAAGCCTACAGTTCTGAAAACTCTTCTAGACCGCAGCTTTCTTCCCTAGAACAGCTGGTTAGCAACCTCCCTCCCTTGTGCCAGCTTGGCCACTCCAGGCAGCCATTCTCTGTCAGAGTTCCCATTTTCTGCTGTATTGGTGGACCTCTCAGCCCAGGGTCCCTGATGGCCAAGACCAATGGATGGCAATAGTGAATTCTCTGTCAGAGTTCCCATTTTCTGCTGTATTGGTGGACCTCTCAGCCCAAGACCAATGGATGGCAATAGTGGCAAGACAACCACTACAACCACTCTGTGCTGTGTACTTTGGCTTACACATTCATTCCCACAAGCCTGGGTGTCAGTGCCTTGGGAACTCAAGAAGACTTAATGGTTCAGAATTTAAGCATAGAAATGGGAAGTGGGTAAGAAGTCCCAACCTTAGCTGAGGAACTCTTGACTGCTGATGACTGCTGATAACTGCTGAGAGAGAGAGAGAGAGAGAGAGAGAGAGAGAGAGAGAGAGAGAGATGGTTCAAAGCTAAGATCAGGAGAAGGTACTTACCAAATTCTTCAAAGAGAGACTCCACAAAGCTGGGCCCAGAATGCAGGTCTGCAGTATTCACATACAGGTAGGAGACTTCCTTTGCTGAGAGGAAGGAGGATATATCACAGTGAGGAGGGAAGGCTAGCTTACCTCTTCTACTTGTTTGCACTGTCACCGTGACTGTGACCACTGTCTCCATATGAAAGGGTACCCAGAAGTCTAGTGCTATAGGGCTGCTCAGGGGATGGTGAGGAAACAGAGCTCCAGTGAGGAGGGAACGTTAGTCCTTTTCACTTCCCAGTGATCCTGAGAAGCAGCAGGTGACATTAACTCCATCCCTTAGACTCCAGGAGCTCTGCAGGACTAGGTACAGCTTATTAGAAGTATGAAGACACACCATGCTATCTGCTGACTCGGGCTATATTGGAGAGGCTGGGGCAGGTGAGGAGGCATGTTGCTGGACAGACAGTGAGGGACACAGACATGGGTTTATAGGGGACATGAGCAAAGTCACGGGCAGTGTGTAACTCTAGAGGATGAATGTATGTGTCAGAGGTACACAGGAGTGTATGTCTATTTGTGAGTGTGATGTACATACACATGTGCACTGTCTAGTATAGCCAGAACATGTATTTGTGTGTGTGCTGTATGTATGCATTAGTGTTTGCTGTTTTGAGTGTGGTGTGTATGAAGCACAGGAGTATGTCTTGTTTGAATATATTGTGCAAAAAAATTATGTTGAGAGTGTTTTGTGTTATGTGGTAGGTGTGAGTGTGCATATTCTATGTGAGTCTATGAAGGGCTGGGGATTGAAGGAGGACAGAGAGCACAGCCAGACTGCAGTGGAGGCGCGGGGCCCAAGTGGATGAGGATGCTGGGCCACAATATGATACTCTGTGCTATGAGGCTGAGACATCCCTTTCTATAGGCCCTCAGGTCAAGGGTACTGCTGCTGTCCATGTAAATGGGACTCCTGTGGGCTGACCTGGGAGGGGCTGCAGGCTCTGCAGGATGGAGGCCACAGCCATCTTCTTCTCCAGGGTGCTGTCGCTGAGGTACTCATGGTCCAGGAGGCTGAGCAGCCCAGTGAGCTCTGGGAGCAGCTGCTCCAGTACTGGGGAGGAAAGCCAAGGACAGTCAGACTCTGAAATAGGACCCTGCCCCCATCCACTGGAGGCTGGGAGAGTAGGGGCCAGAGAGCACCAGGGAGACACAGTGGCTCCCACACAGCTGTCCTGGGTGGGTCACCAATCTCTCTGGGGAGAGCCCTGCTCATAATCTTGCGGCTTTCCTCCAGCATTACTATTCTGCCTTAGACCTCAGATGTCCTTGGCCTCAGGACTGGGCTTTCTTGGGTGCCTGTTGGCAATGCTGAGGCCAGCCACCCTGCGGCCTTCCTTTGCCCTAGCCTGATTTGTAGGCACAGGGGCTCAAAGCAGGTCTCGGGTCAGAGACCCCCACAGCCCAGGACACAGGCAGGAAGAGAGTCTTCCTGTTCTATCTGTTCATATGCTTCAATCTCTGGAACCTTCTGTTTCCTGAGCCTTTGCTGGAGCCAAATGACACATTAACCCTTCCTACCCCATGCCCAAAGCTACCACTTGCCATTCTTTCTGCGCGCTCACTAATGCATCTTGAGCGTGAGCATACAACAGTAATCACCTGCAATTTGTCAAAATGCAGATTCTGGTTCTGGAGGTCTGTAGTGGGAGCTAAGGTTCTGCATTTCTGACAAGCTCCCAGGTCAGAGCTTCCACTGTGTTGCAAGGTCCTGGAGCAGAGTCCTTTCAACACAGGGGAATGCCAAGACCATGATGTCATTGATGTCTCCCTGTCCCAAACAGTAATTTGGGACTTGATTTGCCTCAGAGCCTATAGCTGGCTTTGTCACAGGAGCAGTACTGTCCTGCTTTACCACCCCCTCCCCACACACGAAAGATAATAAAGGCTAACCTGTATTGAACAATTATTATGAACTGTGCTTTGAACAAGCCTGTCTTGCATCATTTCAAACTCAGACCAAACATTTTACTGTCAGCATTATATGAAGAAAAAAATGAGGACTCAGAGAAATTAAATACAAACAGCTGCCGGGCATGGTGGTGCACACCTTTAATCCTAGCACTCGGGAGGCAGAGGCAGGCAGATCTCTGTGAGTTCAAGGCCAGCCTGGTCTACATAGTGAGTTCCAGGACAGCTGGGGCTACAGGGAAACCCTGTCTCAAAAAGACAAAAATAAATAAATAAATAAATAAATACACACATACAAACAGCTGAGAGCCTCTATGACTTGCTCTTCACTTTGTTCTCTTAGCCAGGGAACCGTGTTGGCTCACAGGGCCTTACATGAACCTTCCAACAAATTTTGTGGTAGGTGTTGAGATCACCTTATTTTTTATTATTTTAAAAAATATTTTATTCATTATTTTTATTTTATGTGTATGAGTATATTGCCTGTGTATAGGTAAGTGCACCCATGTTGTGCAACACCCACGGAGGACAGAAGAGGCTGTCAGATCCCCTGGGACTGGAGTTATGGACAGTTGTTAGCTGCCATGTGGGTGCTGGGATTTGAACCCAGGTCTTCTGTAAAAGTCAGTGTTCTTAACCACTGAGCCATCTCTCTAGCCCCCCACCTTACTTTTTAAATGAAGGAACTAAGAGAGAAGCCACACAGAAGCCAGTAAGACTTGGACTTCTGTTCGGGACATGGCTCCCAGCTCCTGTTTCTTCCCACCCGGTGCCCACTGAGGAGGCATAGAGGTGCTGAGGTGAACCTTCAAGGGCTGGGATACTAGGAGGAATCTTGATGGCATCTCACTTTAGAGGACCTACAGCCAAGGTGCCAGGGTTCAGTTCAGGTCTCCATCATTGTGGGGCCTTCCACAAGCTACACTACCTTCCTAGTGACCTCTGTGAAGGAGGCTAACCAGAGAGGCTGTGAGGATACTTAGACCACACCTTGGCTGCTCTTACTGACTCGGGATTCACCTTACATATGTGTTGTATGCAGAAGGCTCCCCTAGGTACAAGATGAACTGGGAACCTTGCTTTCTAGGCAGCTCTGGTGTGACCTGCTCAGTGGAGTGCTCCCTGTTGACTTATAGGCAATGATGCTGCTGGTCTTTGTTTCAAGGACACCTGTGTAATGGCACTGTTGGAGAAAGGTGCAGATGCCATCTCTCTCTGGCATTCCGACACTGCCCTAACACTGGAGGAAATGGGCTGAGGTGTCAGCTGCTTCAGAAGTGCTCTTGCTGCAGTGCACTGTGGTAACTGTTTTTTGGAGCACTTTTTGGCTCACTCCCAAACACTGTGAGCCATCTGACACGGAGACCCATTTTTAGGACTGAGTAGAGCTGAGGGACTGCACAGCCTCAGAGGGCCTGCTGCTTCCCAGATGTGATCCCCAAGGGTGATGAGGAGGAGACCTACTGTCCCCAGGACCTTAGTCATCAAGTGAGGGTCTTGAATGGGTAGGGTCCCCTCTTGAGAACAGAATATTATTTAAGTTTGGCTTTAGCTAAAGTCCACTATCTGGAAGGAAATCTTTTCCTATAGAATCACAAACCTTGCTGGTACTCTCAGGTACACACCGAATGTCAAGGCATTTCAAAACATTTGTTGAGCCCTAATTATATGCCAAGCGCTCTCTCTCTCTCTCTCTCTCTCTCTCTCTCTCTCTCTCATGCACATACTCATTCATACTCATATTCATACCTAACGACTCACAAGGGAGGTCATGGGGTACATACAAGGCAGCCCAGCTGTTCTCCTCTGTTAGCACCCTGGGGCACTGGGCCGAGCAGCCCTACAATAGACATTTTGAGCCCTTCTGGTCTCAAAAATCCATTTATAACTTGTAGAAATTCTTGAGGATCCCAAAGAACTTGTGTTGCTATGGGTTGTATCTATTAAATGAAGGCCAAGAGATGCTTTTTGTTTTAAGACAGGATCTCTCTGTAGCCTCAGCTGACCTGGAACTCCTCAAGGTAGACCAGACTGGCCTTGATCTCACAGCGATCCACATGCCTCTGCCTCCCTAGTGCTGGGATTAAAGATGCATGCTTCCATGCCTGACCACAAGTGTTTCTTTTTAAGAAAAAATACTTATTTTTATTACTTTTAAATTATGTGTACATCTGCCTACATGTGGGTATGTGTGCATGTAAACACAGGAGCCTGTGGAGGTGAGAGGTGTCAGATCTCCTGAAACTGGAATTATGGCAGTCGTGTGCTGCCTGATGTGGGTTCTGGGACCTGAACTCGGGTCCTTTGCAAGAGCAGCACGCACTCTTAACCACTGAGCCTTCAAGAGATTCTTTATAGCACAAGAACATGTAGACTGATCCCATTAGCCTTCATGCCTGATAGCTATAGTCACTTGCTCCTAGACACCTTCCCTGCACACTTGTGTAGAAGGGGCATGAAGAAGGCAGGTAATGCTGTAGTACCATGCTAAAGTAGTTTTGAGCTGGGCTTGGCAGTGCAGTCCTGAAGTCCTAGCACTTGGAGCCTGAGGTAATAGTATTGCTTGAACCCAGGAGTTTCAGACCAGCCTGGGACCATAGTGAGAGCCTAACTTAAAAAAAAAAAAGAAAGAAAAGACAGGGTGTGGCAGCACCTTTAATCCCACATTCAGGAGGCAGAGGTAGGGGGATCTCTGAGACCAGCTAGGGCTACACAGTGAGGTCTTTTAAAAGGAAAAAAAAAAAAGGGCAGACAATGTACTTTTAACCTTGTAGTCTCCTTGGAAACATTTTAGGTTTTCCCAATTCCCAAGCAAATGCCCAAGAGCAGCATCATTCTGGCTTCTTGAGAAGTTACATTTATATTTACCACTCCTAAGTAAGAACTGGCTTCTGAGTTTACCACATAGTCTCTGCTCCTTAAGACCAAGGTCTGTTTCCTTCCTGGTCTTAGATAGCATCCTTCCTAAGAGGCCTTGAGTTCTAAGTGCTTCTTCTCCCCACCACTCTGGCTGGGGATTGAATTTAGGTCCCTTGAGCAAGTTCTCTCCCACTAAGCTCCTACCATAGCCCTTAAGTAATGATTACTGAACAGAGATAGGTAGGTCATAGGCATCCAAACAGAGAAGGAAGGAGCTGAGGGACATAGGGAGAAGAAAATGGAAAGTGTAGGGCTGCCACCCAGGCCTGGTGGCAATTTCTACCCACAGAAAAGAAAAGCTCAGCTTGCAGTGAATGAACAGGTCCCTTTCCCTGGGACTGAGCAGTCAATTTGTAATGTCTCCTTTAAATCTCCCATGCCCCAGGAAAGAGGAAATGGAGATTCAGAAGAGAGCCCCTGCTAGAGCCAGGACCTGGACCCCTGCTTTCAAAGTTCGAATCCCTGTGCATTCTTGAATCTCCTTCCTACCACACCTCAGTTCAACTCAGTAGCTTGGAGGCTGGAGCAGGAGGGAGGTAGGCAGAGGCAATGCTGGGCTTCCTCACCAAGCCCTTTTGCTAAAGGCTCTGGGCTGTAACTTCACCTCTGACATTCTTACTGTAGAGCTGAAGTTCCTGTTCTGTGGCCATCTCACCATGGATCCTACCTGAACAATAGAGCCCTGTTAAGACATCACAAAAGAAAAAACAGTGGCTCAAAGCAGATACCTGTCCTAACCCAGAGACTGTATCCCAGTAGATACCGGATGGACAAGAAACTTTCCAGGCAGCACCAGGCTCTCCTCCCACAACAATATCAGCTCACATCAAGAAGCTGGCTTTTAAGAGTATTAAGTCCAGCTGGGCATGGTGGTGCACACCTTTAGTCCCAGAGGCAGGCAGATCTCTGTGAGATGGAGGCCAGCCTGGTTTACATAGTGAGTGCCAGGCTAGCTGGGACTACAGGGAAACCCTGTCTCAGAAAACAAGACCCCCTCAAAAAACAGTGAGTACAAAAGTGCTTTCTTCAAGGCTTTTCCTATCACAGAGATTTAAATCATCAGAAAATGTCATTAGAGAGAAGGCATTTGGGTATAACACATAGGGCACACTCACTATATGTACCACCAAGACATCAACCTTGGATTTTTAGATAGAGTTGTTAAAAATGTAGATTCCTTGGGGCTGGAGAGATGGCTCAGCAGTTAAGAACACCGACTGTTCTTGCAGAAGATCTGGGTTCGAATTCCAGCACCCACATGGCAGCTAATGGCTGTCCGTAACTCCAGTTCCAGGGAATTCGACAATCTCTTCTGTCCTCTGTGGGCATTGCATGACCTGGGTGCACTTACCTACATGCAGGCAATACATGCATACACATAAAATAAAAATAATAAATAGAATGTTAAAAAAAAAAGAAATGTAGATTCCTGGTCCTCCTACCCCAGAGAGTGACTAGGTAGGCCTGCACTAGCATGTAAGAGTTGACATTTTAGCAAGTACACTGGGTGATTTTGTGCTGGCAGCCCAAGTTCCAACATTTATAAAACATGCCCACAAGCATACTATAAGAGACATCTACAAACAATAAGGAATACAAGAAAAACCTTGTATTTCTTAAGAAACCACTGGGCTGCCCTTTCTGAGCTGAGAGGCAAGGAAATGACAAGCCTTATTTAAGACGAAAAACAGTTGGGAGACGGGGTCTGGCACAGTGGTTAGGGATTTGGAGCTAACCCAAAGTGAGTCCTGGGATTCTTACACTACCACATACCACATCCCAGTTGTGTTTGGTTTTGCCATATGTAAAATGAGAACAGGAGGATCCCAGCTGTAGGGGCTGGGGTCTAGGTAAGGTTCAGCTGTGCCTAGAACCAATACTCACTAAATGATCACTATATGGCATACTGTGGTCAGTGCTGTTGCTATTTCCTAACACTCCTCAGATTTGTGATTCTGAAGTAATGACCAGATGGTATTTGGTGACAAGCTCAGTGAGGACTGTATCCTCACCAGCACATGGCAGGTGCCCAATAAACACTGCTCAATGAAAACAGTATTTTGATGACCCAGTCCAGCTCTCTCATTTTATTTATTTATTTTTTAAAACATACCCCTTGAGAGAGTTTTCTTTTTTTAAAAAAATTTTATTTATTAATTTTACTTTATGTGTTATGAGTGTTATGCCTGCATGTAGGTAAATGCACCCATGTTGTGCAATGCCAAGGAGGACAGAAGAGGCTGTCAGATCCCCTGGAACTGGAGTTACAGACAGTTGTTAGCTGCCATGTGGGTGCTGGGATTTGAACCTGGGCCTTCTGCAAGAAGAGTGTTCTTAACCGCTAGGCCATCTCTCCAGCCCCTATTTATTTTTATTTAAAAAAAAATTCTATTTGTGCCAGGCGTGGTGGCACACGCCTTTAATCCCAGTACTTGGGAGGCAGAGGCAGGCGGATCTTTTTCAGGTCGCGGCCAACCTGGGCTCA